TAGTCTAGACGTTAAAAAAGCTCTTTTGTTAGTTATAATAAGTACTTCATTTGTTTTTTTTTTAACATCACTTAGAAGCAAATTTTTGTATAATAGTTTATCAAAAAAAGGCCCAAAAAATCAAATCAGCCGATATGTTTTATATTTAAACATAGCCAAAATATAATTAATTTAGTTTTTTTTATACAGTATTAGACAGTAAAATATATCCAATATTTATTAGTAAAAACTTTAAAGTATTATAACTTTTTGAAAACAAGCTATATCAAAAAACCCTCTAACAAATTGATAGATTTTTAGATAAACTACATTTCTGGCAGAGAATTTTTTTATTCTTTGTTTTGAAAAAGTTATAAAGGATTAAAGTTTATATAGGTTCAAAAAATTGGCATTTAATATAAAAAAAAAAACATATATACAATTTTAACCAATCAGAATCAATTACACAAAAATTAGCCAATTAGAAATGATTATATAAGCATCAAAATTGGCGCCTCTATGTATAGATTGGATGTCTTTTACTGTCCCGTACTGTATTAGTTAAATTTTATGTAAACACTATAATCATATAGATAAGTATTCTAATTAGCAAATATCAATTTGTTAAATAGGTTTTTTAGGTTTATATTTGTACTTTAAACTTCTTTTATTAGTTTAGTTACTTTTTTTTGTTTTATTTTAAAATATCACTCTTTTTATATTTTCTTTTATCTTATTTGCTTTTTGAAATTTTATTAAAAAATATTTTTTTAGATTAGTAATATATTATATAGAACAATGATCCTGACAACATTAATGAATATCTACTATAAACTCTTAAGATTTAAATCCTTAATAAGTTAAGGATCCCGGAGAAGATAAACATAAACCACTTAGATAGGTCATACCTGGGTCCTTTTTGACAAAATCTAGTAATAGATTCTTGTTTTAAATGATCAAGTGATTCTTTATTAATATAGGCAAAAATAGATTATAAGGATAAATTAGCCTCTATTGTAGTATTCTATATTAATTTAAATAAAAAAAAAATTGCTGAAGCAAAAAAAAATATTATTATATTACAATATATCTTAATAAAATAATTAATTTTGATGTTTAAAAATTCATTTAAATTTTATATATTTGTAAATTTTAAATACTACAAAACTATAAAATTTAAAAAAAATCTTAATTATCAAGAAATTTTATATAAAGTTTTTAAAAAAAAATTTATTCAAATATATGATAAATACCTATATATTAAAAGAACCTATCGACCTGTAGAAGATGTAGGAACCTACATTCAAGGCTTTTTTTGTTTACAAAAAGTTTGAAAATACTACGCATAATTTTAAGAGATTTACAAGTGCAGAGAACTTCTGTCGGGTATTGTATATTCGAATCTCGAAGGAAAATGATCGAAATTGTGATTCGAATTTTATTTTAAGTGTTAAAAACTTTATTGTATACATATTTAATATAACTTAGACCTACTGTAGTATATCGCTTTATTCAATATATCTTTCTTTAATCACAAAATTTTTAATTTGAAAATAAAAATGAAAATTTAATAATTTATAGCATTGATCTAACAAATTTTATTAGTTTTTGAATTTTACACTATTTGATTGAGAATGGAAATATATTTAGATTTTGTTATTCTAAATGAAGTGGGAATCTTGATTTCCAAACTCAACCTATGTAGTAATGTCATAATTCAAAAAAAAAAAAAAAAAAGGATTTTTGAATTGCAATTCTACTCCCAAGTACCGGATGCTAATTTGGGTTTATCCCATTCACGTACACCATCATAAGTAGTATCTTTAATAACTTCATTGGTTTTTAAACTTTCAAGATCCCAACAACCGGTTAATTTGGGCATATCCCATTCACGTACAACTTCGTCTTTAGTTTTTTTACGTTTTGTCGGCGAATCAGAGTCCACATAACTATCAGAATCTGATGATAACTCTGAATCAGAATCTCGCCTGCGCCTCTTTTTTGACTTTTTAGATTTACGATGTTTCTTCGATTTTTCTTTATGATGTTTTTTCTTTTTCTTTTTCTTTTCAACTTTTTCAATCTCTTCAATTTCTTCTTCAGTAATAAGTGGTAAATCTTCAGTTTTGTTTGTTACTTT